AACTAATATATTTGAGTTAAAACTCTTTTGGTTATACGCTCTTCTCTCATTCTCTTTTTTTTGTATTTATTTGTAATTTTTTTATTTTTTTTTTTGCATTTTCAAACAAATCCCTTTCTCTCTTAATAAAAAGAAAAATCTTAAATCTCAAAATGCTATTTAGATTTAGATCAATACACACATACTCACGCACAAATCTTCATTTTAAATTCGTAAATTTTGATTTCTAAAACTCAAATAGGATTCTTTGTATCATTCTGTCTACTACTCGTATCACAACTTCTTCCATGTAATCATAAATGCTTGAATTAAACATTTTATCTTGTCTTAAAATTTGTGGTGCCTCCGGAAAAGTATTTTAAGTTTTAAATTTACGAGAAATTTAAAAAAGAATGAAAGACGAAGAAAGAAAAATAATTTTTGCACCAGCCCATATTTTTCTCTTTTACATCCTGGTACTCGTATAAGAAGGAAACCATCATGGTATCAAAAATCACGCATAAAATCATTGATTATTGTTTTCTTTTCTCAAATTACTTTCATTTTTCGTTCTCATGTTTTTGGTGTTGTAATGTGTTGTACTAATATTGAGGTTTTGTATTAGAAGCTTATACACAAAAATAAAGAATGAAGGAAAAAAAATTCAATTAAAAAAGTAAACAAAGCCCTTAAAAAAAAATTTGTTTTTTGTTTTCGCTTTTCTTATGTGAAAGCGAAAAAATAATTTTCCACAAGTTGTAAATATAAGCAAGTAAACAAGTAAAACTGAAATTCTGTTGGTGGCAAGTGTAACTTGATTATAGTCCCTACAATCAAAAGCAAATGGTCATTTTTATTTCGTTTAAGATTTTTATGCATTTTCAAATTATAGGGATTAATTTTTGCTTTCTCATAATTCTTTCAAAATTTTGTGGCGAATTATAATGTTTGAATTTAATTTCAATATAATTTTTAATTGAATTACTGAATGAATCCCTAAATTATTATTTAAAATTCTCTTACATTGCATTTTAATCTCAGAGGTTATCAACTTTTATTCCAAATTTAGTATGCTGTAAAGTGTAAAGTGTTTTAAAGAAATTTTGTAAAGTATTTCATATTTTTATGCACAAAATGCTCCAGCAAATAAAACTAAAAGATAAAGAGATCAAGGTTAAATTAAAATTTATGTAACCATAAATATCAAAATAACAAAAACTGATCGGGTGGGAAATCATTAGAATCTTTCATAAACAAATTCATTAATGTAAAATAATTTCAAATCAGTGGGTATTTTTGAATTTAAATTTCCGAATTGGAACAGAAGCAAAATTAAACTTCTACATTTTATTAATAAATTTAACTCACGCTTGCCCTCTTAATTAACATTTTACATATTTACACACTTTATATTTAAATTTGAAATATGTAAAAGTATTATGAACGAAATTTCTTAAATATTAAATACAACATTCAAAAAGATTTTCAAATTAAATGAGAAAAATGAAATTTTATTTATCGCCATTTTTTTTTAATACTTTTTTAAATACATTTTTATTTTATTTTCTTTTCATTATTGGAAAGTGTTGTTAGAACATAATAAATATTCAAGGGGGAGGGGGCCCCTTATCGAATGAATAAAAAATATTAAATTAAAGGTTATGCTTAAAAAAGAACATTGCAATTATCGAATGTTATAAATTTTCGGATGAAAAAAATGTTAAATAAACTTTTTTTTAAGAGGTCTTTAAATTTTATATTGTAAATTATTTTGCCACTACACTTAATAAAGTTCAGAGTGATAAAACATTTTTGTATTTACAATAAAAATTTTAAAATTTTTGTGGTAGGGCATGTATTTTGTTAAAAAAAATTTTTCTTTTTAATTTATAAAAGTTAAGTACTGGAAATTTGGTTGATTTCTTATATTCAGGGTTAATAATTTTTATATTTTTCATTATTTCATTTTCTAAATTACCAAAAAATATTTTAATCTACTTTAATGATTAAAAGTAACCACGGATTTTATAAACCGCAAACTACTAATTATGTACTATATTTTAATACTTCTCAACAATTTAATTGCTATTGAAAGAATCGAGTCTACAATGTTGAAAATAATTTGAATAATGCAAAAAATGAATTAATTTTTATTTTAATAGTCTTAACTTAACGTTAGTAAGATATACAAGCTTTTCGAAAATTTAGTTTTAATTTAGATTTTAATATAAAACATGTTCAATAATTCAAAACTACAAAATCTTCTTATGTTCTATAAATTTTTGCTACAAAAGAAGCACGTTCGAAACTCGCAGCATGTTCAAAGTCCTAAAGTATTTTTAAAGACTTTTTTTTTGAAAGCTGCAAAAATACATGAAGTTTGAAAAAGATTACATTACAAAATTTAATATATTTTAAAACTATAATAATCTGACGAAGTAAACTAGTTACCCCCTATAGATCTGTAGTGATCCAAAACAACATTTGTAAAACTTAACGAAAATCCCTATAATTATAAATGCATTTATCTACACGCATTATTTTACACATGCGTGTAGGTAAATCTAGTAAAGGTATTTAGTATCATTTTTTTTTTTTCCTTCTTCACCCCTAGGAGGAGTATAGGGCTAGTACATGAATGATATCTATCATGCCCTAGTTTCTATAGTCATAGAGAGTTAGCTAGGTAGGTTGACTAGCCTGTCGTAGTTTTATTTATATTAATTATTTGAGGTTATTAATATTTACTGTTTATTTTTCTTAGTTTTTAGTATCGAATATTATGAATATTTGAAAATTACTTGTTTAATATTTATTAGTATTGCATATTAAGTTATATAATATTGAATATAATTTTTATAGTGACCTGACCGGGGTTTGAACCCGAGACCCTTCGGTTAAAGGGCCGGTGCCATAACCACTGCACCAATGATCAGATCATACACGATACTAAATACAATAATGCGTGTAGCAACTAAATAAATAAAATTAATTAAACATTAAATTAATAAATAAAAAATAAAAATAATTTCATTCGAATTAAATATTTCGTTGTAAGAATTTTTATTGAAGAAAATTTCATTATACACATTCAGTTTTGATATTTTTTTTTTTATTTTTTATAATATTTAATTGTTTTATAATAATACATTTATATTAATAATAATTCGTCATTAATATTAATTATTTATTTTTTTTTCAAATTCCTTAATACATTGTACCGTTTATGCATATAATATAAATATATAAAATTCATACCATTTAAAAATAAAAATAATTAATTCTTAAAATAATAATAATTTTTGCTTTTCGTATATTTTTCAAATAATTCATTATTTTAATATTTTTAATATTATTTACATTTATTTGTATCCATTTAAAATATTTATGTAGGTATAATTTTTTGATTATTTAAAAACAAAATACAAATTCTAATACAAATTAAAATAATAATTTTTTTTTTCGTTATTTTTTTTCATTTATTTATTCTTATATTATTGAAATAATTAATTTGTTAAACAAAATATTTATAATATACATTAGTAATAAAGAAATTTATTATTAAGAAATTATAATAATAATAATAATGCTATAAAAAGCAAACTCTTAAAAAAACAGGAAAGTCAACAAAAAAAAATTACATGTACGTATATAAAAATATTATGTGAGTCCGATTGGGTTGGATTGGCTTATGCTACATGAAGAAAATTCATACAGGAAGCTAAAATTAATACAGACTGAAAATTAACACAATTAACCAATACATTCAGTTTATAATATAAATGATTTTAAATCGTAATCTTGATACTTTCAATTAATATCGAGCTTAGAACTTTTGAAATTATACCAGATTTCAAAATATAATAAATATTTGTGAATTACAAAGTTATATAAATTGATTTATATAATATTAGGATTGTTTATAATGTAATTAATCATGGAAATTAAAATTTTATTATATTCTTACTATTGTTATAAATTCTTTACTATAATTTTCTAGTAAATTGTATTCTTCAATTAATTTTTTCTACTCAATTAGTTCAAAAATTTCTGAGTGAATTTTATGTATTTAAAACAAATAGTCTTTTATTAATAATTAGCAGTTGAATTAGAATTTTTAAAGAAAAAATAAACATTGAATATTGGGAATACAATAATGTAAACATGAAATTATCATTATTTGAGTCATGTACACTCATTTTTGTAATATTCGTAAATATTACGATTCCTAACCCAATTATTCATTATCAAAGACTTTTATTAAATATTTCTACAAATTAAGATTATTTTAACAGGATTGTGTATCATGCACATAAGAAGGATAAAATTAAATTTAGTACAAATAAGATATTTTACAAATAAATCTTAAAATATAATAATATTTATTATACTAATAAAATGTATAACGTACATGTGTAAATTTATTTAAAATAAAAACAAAACAGTTTAAGGAAACATAAACCTTTTTTCTCAAAAATGTCATAAAATGAAAAGGAAAAGCAGTACAAGCATGGTGCTAAAAAAACAATATCTTTTTCTTTTCTCTTTTTAAAAAAATTATTCAAATTTTTTACCTCATTTTTATAATAGCCTTACGGTTATTATATTTTAATAATATTTTTATTTTATCCTGAAAATTCCTTTTCTTACTTTGTAAATTTAAATACTCGTGTTATATTGTATAAATAATACATAATTATTAATACACGTGTGCATTAAAGAATGCATTAAAAATTTATTTTATTGTTTTCCCTTAAATTTTTCCCTTGTTTTAGTTTACAATATTTATAATTAAATATTAATAAAGCAAACAAAAACAAAATACAGATATATTAAAATATTTGTATAATATTTAATGTTATAATATTTTTTTGTCTCTTTATAATAATATAGGTAATTATTATTATAAATTATAAAACAATAATAAATATTCTTGTATATATTCTGTAAAAATATTATGTTGTTTGTTATTGTTTTTGTGTATAAATTACATTTAAATAACCTAAAGGAAAATATTTTTATTTATTCTCTCTTGTTTTTTTTTTTTCAAAAAATATATTTTATAATAATATTTATAATAATGTAATATACATAAATATATCTACATAATAATTATAAATAAACAAGTGAAAGAGGAAGAACATAAAAGTATACATATTTTAATTTTTTATATATTTTTTTTTAATAATAATTGAAATTATATCGTTGTTGTTATTTTTTTTCTCTGTGTATGTCATATTGCAGTTCCATAATTTTTCGATTAAAAGAAACTTATTTAATATATATATATATTTTATTTATGTACATTTTATATAAATTTGACATATAAGATAATTTTATGATATTAATAATAATAATAAAATAAATGTTATACAAGGCGGTTGTGTTTAAATTAAAAAATTTACATTATTGTTAAAAAATCGAAAAATACATTATTTATTATAACAATATATGCATAATACACGCGTACATATAGAATTCAAATTGAAATTCTTTAAATTGTAAAAATTTTTTTAAAAACAAAATTAAAATACTTTAAAAATAAAATTTTTATAATTTATTTATTAACTTTCTTTAATGATTACAAATTATTAATTATTATTTTAACTGCTTTATCAATTTGTCATTGCATACATTTAGGCTCAAATAATACAAATACCATACTAAAATTATTGTTATACATTTTGTTTTTATTCTTATATTAAAATTCTTATTTTTATTTATTGAATTTTTTTTTTTTGTTTTTTTTTTTCTCATTATTATTTCCTTCTATGTTCTTGAAAGCATACCATTTATCATAATATTTGCTAAAGCATTCCTTCGTTTACGCCATGCACCCATACATTGTGAATGATATTGTAATTGTTTATACCAATGTTTTGTACGTACACCATCTTCAGCCTTAAAAACAAAAAAAAAAACCGGAAAATATTAAATTAAATTATATTAAATATATTTGTGTATAAATGTGTTTATATTAAACTAAAATAAAATTAAATTGTTTGAAATAATTCAAATTTTTGATAGGTTTATGTTGTGTGTATGAGTGAATATTAATTGATAAGATTTTTATTAATTAAAAAAATCTTGTTTTATTTTGAAAATTTATAAAAAAAAAACAAATATTCAAACTTTTTGGGGAGAAAAAAGTAAAATGAAATTTGTCATCAATTAAAGAAAAAATTAAAATATTTTTTTATAAGTATGAAAGTGGTGATTTTATTGAAATTTTAATTTGAAACTTTTTTGGAAAAAAATCGGGTCAAATTGCGGGACTGAATTTTGTTTCGCGAAAGACTCATAATAAGTTTTCACTGATTTTTTTTAAAATGTTCAAAAATTTCCCGAAAATTTATTCTGCACAAAAATAATAATCTAGTATTTTCTAGGTCAGACAGCCCCATATTTTTTCAAAGAGAAACCGTCCCATACCATTTACACAACATTTTAAAGTACAAGCTCTTGCTTAAGCAGTTTATTTTTTTTAATTTCCTTTAACAAATCTTAGATATTTGAACAAAAAAAAAAATTCAAGGAAAAACATTAAAAATTAGTCGAAAAGCTATTTTTCATAATTGTGTGCATAATTATTGCCCAGCTAAGATTTTGTATACCAAATTTTAATGCAAAATTCTGTTCTAACATAATTAAGGATTTCGTTTTTTTTTTTTTTCAATAAATTTGGGATGATGAGTTGATCCTTGGCCCAGATTCGAAGCAAAGAAAAAAATTACTTAACAGAATCACTATGAATACAGAAAAATCCGAAAAACTTAAAAAATTTTAAGAGTTTGACTGACATTGTACAGGCTATATACAGCTATGATATTTAACTGTAATATACAGCTTCGAAATATAAAAAAAAAATATTGCATTTTCATTTGAATTACAAAATTAGACTAGAATAAAAATATTGATACTCTTGAACTTGAAATAACTAAAATTTTCTTATAAAGTTATTAGCAGTTGTTTTTATATTAAACAGCATTTATAATTTAGCATATACTTAAAAGATTTTTAGAGATTTTAATTACATAATAAAATTTCCACTATTTCCAATTATAATTAAGTTTTATAAAATTTAATTTTTCTATAAGAAATTTGTAAAATGCAAAAATTTAACATTAAGAAATATTATAAAAAGTAAAACGTTCTGATACTCGTAAAACATTAATAATTTTATTCTAAAATTATTCTAAAATTTTATTTTTAGTTAAAAAATTTTATCACTCTTTAAAATTACGCCCAAAATCACTTTTTATTCTTACATTATTCGCATATCTACCTTTTACATTTATTACATTTATTCAAATTATTTAAACGATTACAAATATTTCATTTTACATGAATTTTAATAAATTTATTATAAATAAATTATAATTAATTACTATCATACACCCTTATAGTCTTGTTTAACTAACAATTTATTATACATACTATCAAATGTATTTCATAAATAAATTTATTTTCTTAAAAGAAAAGAAAATCTCTTATTAAATTACAAAATATTAATAATAAATTATTCAAAGGTATATAATTTACTATATAATCATACTGTTATATATAGACATAGATTTACTATTTGTAAACTAAAATAGTAAGATACTAAATATACTATTACAATATATAAAATGTAATATGTGCTCTTTGATTTCCTTTTTGAATGTTAAGACACGCAAAAAGATATTAAATGTCACGAAGATTATAAGGAAAATATGTCTCATATGCTATTTTTATTTTATACTGTTATATTGTTATATAATGCCCTTGCATGCATACATACGTTACCATATACTCGTAATTTATAGAAATTAAAAATAACCTAGGTTAATTACTTTTCTCTTTTAAAATGAACAAAAAAAAAAAAACACCTCCATAATAATATAATATGTAAAAATAAAAATAAACATGTGCGTGAATCTGTACATAATAAGTTAAGAAAAAAAAAATAAAGAAAATGTGAAAATAAAATATTAAGGATAAAAGAAAAAGGAAATTTTTTACTTCCTTATTCTGATAAATTATATTCACGTATGTGTGAATGTGTGTTGGTTTATTTACTGAAAAATATTTATGAAAAATAAATGATTTTTTTACGCTTTTCCCGGTGATTTATGCCTGGTTCACTGTTCAGAACAATATTTTATCTTAATTAAATTATTGAAATCTGTTAGTTTATGTTTAGAAGTTTAACTTAAAATGGCTTTGATAACCAAGGCTCATTCCATTCGATTCCGGATCGGATAAAATTTCGGATGAAATTCTTGAATAAAGTCCCTTGTTTTAAAATTGAAATTTCAAGCAATCTTTATTTGAAATATCACACATAGCTTGAAAATACCGGCGAGAAAATTTTCATATAAAATTTCTCGCCGGTATTTCAATATATTTTCTCTTACAGAAATCATAAATGTACCATGATACGTTTACGAAAAATCTGGTCTGAAATGCAATTATAAATCCTATTATTTCAGTCTTACTTAAATTTGAGAAGCGTTTTTCTGTTAGTACACAAAAGTTTTCGAAAAGTACATTTGTTATTCTACAATTAAAGACTTGAAATTCCAAATTATTTTTTAATACCTACTGCAATTCTGAAAGCGACATGTAAATTTTCCATTGCAATTAAATATCATTATAACTAATCCTGCGTAATAATAAAGCAGGTTGTATAACATTGTTAATAACAAGAAAAAAAAAATTTCATATTAAAAATTGTTTTTTTTTGTTGTTGTTTTGTTTCCGTAGAAGAAAATGATCTTATAAGTACACAATCTATATTTCATAAAAGTGAGTAAAAAAAAAATATTATATAAAAAGGATGCTATTTTTTTCCTACTTTATTTGGTTTATTTTTGTTATTCAACCAGTTTTTTAGTAAATTTTTCAATAAAATTAGTCCATCTCGCATTTACGTAATGAGGGGGTTAAATATGAATCAATTATAGCTGCTGCGGTGGTCCGAGAGGAGGAATTTCTTTGTATATATGTCTCTTCAGTAATTTACAATCTGCAATGACTCAATTAAATTAGAATTTCTCAATTGTCAAATTTGTTTTCGAATGAAATCATCCCCAAAATGTGAAATTCAAAATTTGAGTACTGCAATTATTTGGCTACATTTGAGTGTCTTAAAATAAGTAAAGTTTTTGCAATACATTGGCTCTAGATTAAGTTACAAAATTTCTATTTTCTTAATATTTAAGTGACAAAGTCAGAGCCTAGTCGCTCTTAAAGAAGAAAATTTACTTGAGTTGCTGTGAGACAAAATTTAATACGTTTTTGTAAATATTAATTTTCAACTGCAGGCTTTTATACAATATTGATCAAGATTTTAAAGGTTACTCTGTTAGTAAGACAATCTGAAATATTTGAACTTTTTGAATCAGATCTGATTCAAAAGTTCAAATATTTTTTACGGAAATATACGCGTGCATTCCTTATTTTCTTCCAATGCCTTGAATCCTATTCAAACTTGTTCTTTTTTCTATTTCTTATTTACCATAATGATAATTACCAGAAAGCAAACATATTTATGATTTTGAGTTTTTGTTTCTCTTTTATTCCCACACTTAATAATTTCTCATCCGTACATTCACTCATTTATACTTTACTCAATCATTTTTTCATTCACAAGAAAACATTGAAAAAAAAAAAATTCATTTTCTAAGTAAAAGCTTTCATTCATTCATAGATTCATTTTTTTTTTATGAATAATAATTTCAAAACAGGAAATATGAGATAAAGGAATAAAAATCAGAATGGAGGAGACAAATCTCATAGGAACTTTCTTCTCTGTTTTCTCATCTCTGTTTTATTAAAACGAACTGGAATTTTTTGTTATTTTTTTTCTGCTCTGTTTTACTTTCTCTATAACGAAGTAGAAATAACACATATATAATACTGTTATATAATAATATAACAGTATGTAATGAGTCAACCACTTAATATCGTTTAATATGCAGTAGAATAATTCCTCCTCATCTGGGTTGCTTGAATTTTCACTTGATTTTAAGATGACAAAGCTTCATTATTTAAGAATTTATACATTCTTTAAGTGATACACAGCTTGAATTTTAGTAGCCCAATCTTAATTGCAGTTATAACCACAACAAATGAGATCGCCCTTTTCGTTTGTGTGACAATAAAATTAGAATGATACGCACAACAATACCATCCGATTTTAAATAACTCAAATAGGAATGATGTTAAGTTTTATGTTATCTCAAGCGGAATTCATAGAAGCTAGATTAAAAAAATTCGGTTGAATTTTTATTCTCCCAATGGTGTTTCTACTTTAAGTATTATTTCTTAGTTTTGTGACACAATAACTGGCTAGCATGGATTTATCTGGTTTCTAACTGTTGCTGCTGATCAGAATCATTCCGCTACTTAAAGCTTTATTCTCGTGAAAGAGAAGGTTCAATGATTATCACATATACTATACAGTTTCTGTTATTTTAAATTGAATATCTTAAAATTTGCAACAAATCTTAAATTATTTCCTTAAAAAATTTAAAATAAAATACATGACTTTAACGAAAATGTAACGAACTCGTTCAAAAATATTAAAGAAGTATTTTACAGAAGAGTATATGAAAAAAATTCATAATAAAATTCAGGAGCAGACGTTCCAATTTTCTATTTATATCCTCTTAATTACATATAAACTTATATATATTCCAACATGAATATAATATTATTTGTATACTGTCTTGTAAACAATATAAAAATCTTAAATTATGAAAAGTAGCAATGTGAATCCTTAATAATACAATGAATGCATACATTCTTAAAACAAGCTCATATTTCTATATTTTCTAATAAAAATTTTTATATGTGTGAGTATTTAACTCTATATAATATTATATAAATATGATGTGAATGAAACATTATGGTTAAACACGTATGACTAAAATATTAATTAAGATTTCTTAAAGAGGATTAAGAAGAAAAAATTCAGTATATAAATTTAAGCACCTACATATATTTTAGAATGGGTGTTTAACTGTCTTTCATAATTATTCTGTTCACTCATCTATAGTTTTGCATATGCACATCAGGAGGAACGTTCATTCATTTCGATCTTGAGTAAATTTTTTTAGTAGATATTTTATTATATTAAAACATTTTTATGCATTTTAATAGCAATGCAGGGAATATACAGGATTTTTATATTGTTTGGTACAAGGTATTATTTTTTTTTTTTTAGACAGTAAAAACTCAAAATGTCTCATCTGCAGTAATAAATTTTAGAACTACAGTAAAAAAAAAAAATTATTTTCCTTGTTGTTTTTTTTTTATATATGCATTGAATGATGTCTCACCAATCATTAAAGATATCTGAGTTGTGAAAGAATTTTATAAAATTCTATACAAGTAATTTTTTAAAGTAAAAATCAATATTTTTGCTTGTAATATCTCCATTAACTGCCTGATACATTATTCAATTAAAAATTAAAATTTTGATATTAGAATATTAAAATTAGAATATTAAAAAAATATGTAAATTATCTGAATAGATTTTTGATTCAGTTCTAATTTAATAATTCAGGACAGCAAGTCATCATATTTCCAAATGTAAAATTATTTTCGGTTTCATAAGAGCTTCCTGTTTCGTTTTTGCAATTTTACAATTTACCATTTTTAAGCTACAAATCGCTACTCCTGATAACCTCTTCTTAATGATCCTTTATGAAATATTTAAATTGGATTCATTTTTAATAGCAGGTTTTATTCCTAAAATTACTTAAATTTGTTGTGATAAAATATTGATGTTTTGAATGTTTTGAATTTCATTCGACGAATTCCTTGAAACCATTGTCGCTCACTGATTCATTAAATTCACAAAAAGTATTTACAATTTTTCAATATGTGTCTTATAAAATTGATTTCCAATTGATTTGTTTTCTTCTTAAAAACTACTCCTGATTCCAAAGTAAACTGGAACATATTGCTTAAATAGTATCTTTTATTTGTTTATCCTTCATATCTGCCCAAGTTTTCTAAAATTTTTATGAACTCACATAAATAGGTTTCAAATTTTTAAAAAGATTTTAGTCATTAAATTTTTAAATATACATACACTAATTAAATTGATTTGATTTCAATCCTTTTATTCGAAATTTTTAAATAATAGGATCAAAAGATTGAGTGGAAAATATTAATGTAAAACAAAATATTTTTTCCTAAAGCAAAAGAAAAAAAAACTATTTACATCGTATTTTAAAAAGTCAAACATTAAAAAAATAAAATTCTTAAAGATTAACTTTTTCTTTTAAAAATTAAATAATATAATAAATTAAAATATAAGGACAATAAGCGGTTTTAATTAGCTTAATGAAACATTAAAATGTATTGATTATAAAAACACTTTCAATTCAGTGAAATTTTTAGAACCCTTTCATCTCAAGGGAAAAATTATCAAATTAATTCGATGTGAATTGATAAATGATGAGGGTTAAAATTAAAATTAAGAAAAACACAAAAAAAATAGAATAATTTATAAAAAAAAACCTGCTGACGCGTTCGCTTCTTACTTGCTCTGTAACATTTTAGTACAGTGAAGTAAATAAAATAAAAATTGGGTAATTAAAAATCTCTTAGGAAAAAACATAAGATTAATTGTCTAGACTTAATATTAACAAATCGTTTTAGATGTTTTCCATTCATTTAAAAATCCTGAAAACTTTCTTTACTTTTCAGTTCAACAAAATAAACAATGACAAAAAAGGAGATGAAAAATTTTATCTTCATTATCAAAATTTTTTCAAATATTGAATTTTTTCACTCATATATATTAATTTTCTATATTATTTAGGAAAATGTTAAATTTTAAAAAATGTAGATAGTATTACTGGATTAGAAGTTGTTGTTATGATACCTAATTTCTATATTATAGTAGCATAAGAGTTACCAACATATTTTTAAAAAAAAAAGAACAGAAACAGAAATTATAAATTCCTGGCTTTCGTGGAAACCGGTGTTTTTCAGTGCGATTTATAAAATCTGAAAAAGACTTTTGTATGAAATCATTTGCACCTATTCCGGGATATTAAATTTAAGACCGTGAATTGTACAAGTACAGTATAGAAGAATCTCTAATTGCTTTATGGATGACAACAAAAACCTTTTCCTTACAATTAGTTCAGTTCACAAAGTAATTGTGGGCTGCTTAGAAAATTGTCCAACCAATATTGTTCAACTCATAAAATAGTCTTCTCCGCATACTTCGTTACAAATATGGAAACTCTACAAATTTTACTCCAAGGAATAAAAATTATGTTTTAAAAGCAATTAAGTATTTCAAAATTCTTTAAAAGTGCATTTCATATAACTTCACGTCATTCATTCAAATGAGCTTCAATTGAAAAAAAAAACTTCATATTAATGATAACATCCTTTTGCAGTCTAACAGCCTTTCCAATCAGTCATTTTAAAATTAAAATTATTTTTCTTTTTGTTTTTTTTTTTTTGTAAATTTTCAAAAATGTTGTGTTCTTAGAGTAGATCAATAGTTTTTGAAATGATTTGCATCGTTAAGTAAAAAAAAAAAAATGTTTCTTTTTCTGAAAACGTCTGAAAAATGTTTTTAATTATCTTTCATTGATTTTGAAACCGCAGGTTAAAAATTTTACCTTAGAGCATTTCTATTACACTAACTATTTACCTTAAATATAAAAGTATCCTTTGATGATATTTCATGAACTTCAAAATAATCTTCCCAATCAGCTTCTGTACATACAATACATCGATCCATATATAATGGTTCACGGATTAATGTATAACGTCCACATTTTTCTTTGACTAATAGTAAGGATGCTTCACGTATACCAGTATGTTTTGGAAAATGTAATTGATCAGCATACGCCTTTTCAGATTTATAATTAGAACTTGGCTGTTGTACATTTGAAACATAAAAAAAAAAAAATGAAAAAAAAAAATCAAAATTTAATTATAAATCTCACTGTGACTATGAGAAACTAAGAATGAACAAACAAAAATCTACTGAATCGGTATACCAACATATAAACTTATAGTTAATGTTCCAGTACATGGAAACATGATAAAATATTAAACGAAATCAATATAAAAATTTCTATGGAAAAAAAAAAATTACCTTTCCATTTGTAACCAGAAGTGCATTAACAGGTGTTAATTTTATTGTACGTCCTTTTTTCCAATTACTATCTGTTGGTTGAGTAAACAATAGTTTACCTTCCATAGTGAAACGTACTTCATCATGATTCCATTCCAAAACATCTATAGCCATCTTACGTAATTTAATATTAATCATATCAATTTCACATGATGCACGTCGATTTGGACTCGATGATGATATACGACGCCATAATTTCGTTGGAACATCTTTAGCTTCTTGATTCATATGATTTAAATGTAATTCGATTTTTTCTTGTGCTTGTTTCAATAATTCTCTACCATCTAAATGTACTGGTGTAACTTTAAAAAGACGTGCTAAGAGTAATGGATATTTCGTTACACGTTGAACAGGAACCTTAGGAAAATTAATTTTTATCTTTTATTAATTTAAAAAAATAATAATTTTTCTTACCATTAAAAATGAATTTAAATTCATTCGTCTTAATACAGTATTTTCCATTTGTGATACACGTAAAAATATTCTTAATAATTCTTTTTCTTTTTCGAGATTAGCTAAAAGTAGACTAGCAGCTGCTTGACGAACACAATAACTTTCAAATGCATGTAACATTTGTGTTGATTCTAAAAATATTTTACCAATATTTACAGTTAATAGATCATCATCACCTTGTTCTAATGCTATATCCAATGCATCACGCATTCGTTCAGCAAGAGTTTGATTATTCTCGAGCAATTCTTCAGTATTTAAGAAGATTGCAGAGAGTTGCTCTTGTGTTAGAAGACCTGCTACTAACATTGGTTGACAAAATTCTTCTAATATAATTTGTAAATCACGTCCATATTTCTCTTCGGTTTCAACAATTTCTGTTATGATTTCTTTACGTTCAGCACGTTTTTTGCCACATTTACGACATACTAATGGTGCATACATAACACCAGAATCAGTAATTTGTGTTTCAACAGGCCCATCACAATCTTCACATAAATGTATTGGACTATTTTTATCTAGTAAACATGCAGCTGGAGGATTTTGATATTTACTTCGTGATGATTTACTTGTTTCAGATCCAACACCAGAATCATTCCTTTCAATATCAATTGTTGAGGGCTTGGAACGTTGTGATCCAATTGAAGTTAATGTATTTGTTGCGGAATTATTAGCTAGAAAAAATTTTTTATTCAAATATTAAAATTTATATAAGAAATTATTTGAAGAAAGAGAAAGCACTTACGTGTTAATAGTTTTTCATTTATTGAACTGGATAAGCTATGTGTATCTTCGCTTGATTCACTCGTAATCGACAAATGACTATTTCGATTGTTTAACTCAGAATTACTATTGCCATTTTTATTATTGCTAACAATATTATTATTACTAGAGCTAGAATTTTGTAAATTATGATTTCTCTGATGTCTTAATTCCTTATTGCTATTATTAGCACTTATGCTATCGGTAATTTTATCCTCTTCTAGAATTATGTCGTTGATTCCATTTGAGAAAGTGTAATCGAAATTATCTTCTTTTACAATTCCACGTTCTTTTGCATCAACTAAATATGACAATATATCATATTTCGATGCCCCTTCGAACATTGATTTCGATGATTTTCGCTCAAAATCTCCTTCGTTAACAGGTGGTGGTGATAGTGGTAATGGTGGTGGTATTTCACTTATTTCTTCATATATAGGATCACTATTTAAGCGTATCGATTCATAATGGTGTTCTTCATCATTATTAGCAGATATTTCGATTTCTGATAAGGTTGCATCAACTAACATCTGATAAAATTTACTTTGAGTTGAAGTTGATTCCTCATCACAGTTTGTTATTTCACTTGAACAACTTTGATAACAATCCGATTCATTATTGGCTTCGAATTCAAAAAGTTCATAGTTAGCTGAAGTGTAACTATTGCCTGAACTAATACTACCGCGATTACTTTGGCTCTCCTGTTGTTCTTCAATAGCTGATTTATTATTATTTGAACTTACATTGGTACAATTGCTATGATTTAAATGACTATTAGTAAGATTACTGGAATTAGAATTATTTTGCATTTGTTGGTGACCTGATTCAATTCTATAACGTTCTTCCTTAATTTTTTGTAAGGAAATATCAATTAATCGTGTCATATCTTCATTATCTTTGGTACCACTTGTATCAATCGAAGTTCTACTTTGTTTTAAACGTTTTAGAGAACTTTCAATTAATTTAACTATAACATCATTTTCTAATCCATCAGCTAAATGACTTAATGTTGGATCTTCAAGAAGTCTACCAATTAAAGAGTTTTTGTCAGACTTAATGCTATTCATACTTGTTTCTCGGTCACGTGATTTTTCTGTAGTAGAAGATTCTTTTTCAACAGAAAGAGATTTTGTTATGAGTGGTTCATCTAAAACTGTAGCTAGAGTTGAAGTAGAACTTGTTCGTGATGGTGTAGAAACAGTTGAATTGTTATCATCTAATATAGTATTTAATGATGTTACAATATCTGATTTTCCACAAACATGCGGTACTAAATTTCTTTTAACAGCTTCAACTGGATTTCGTAAAATTTTTACTAACTCTTCTTCATGAGATAAATTCATGCTTGCTGTATTACCATTAATACTTTCTTTTGGAGTTTCGACAACTTCATCGCAATCAGTAGATTCAATGAATCGAGATGATTCCTTTTCAAAATCTAAAGTGATTAATGTTCCTTTACTATTACGTTTCGTGGTAGCTTTTAACTGTTGTTTTTGATTACATATAGTTTCATTTCCACATTCTTCATTTAGAATTTCTTTACTATTGCCATTTAAGGTGTTAGATGTAACTTCCATTAAATTTCCATTGATTGGTATGATTGATTTAGTTGAATTCATGCTAAGCAATGTATTCAATTTATTGTTCTTATATATAATTTCATCCTCTAAACTTTTTCCTACATTGATTTTTTCTGAACTGTTTAAATCTTTGTGTTTATTTTTATTATTATTAGCTTGCGATGATATGGTCGTTGCGGTATTAGTGTTAATACTACTTGTTTTATTGCTGTTTACATTAATAGTGACTGTATTGGAAGGATAAAATTGAGAATTGTCATTGCCTTCGGCATTCAAATTATTTCTAGTATTTGAAGTCTTTATATTATCAGATGTTTTAACTGATAATATTGGAGTAGTTCCATCTGTTACAACAACAGAAGATTGATAAATTGGTGTGTCGTTTGAAACATTGACTGTGGAATAGCAATCATCACCATTTATTAATATTGAAGTTTTCTTTTGATTATTATTAAAAGAGCCAACATCATTACTTGTATTATTTAAGTGAGAATCATTTGATTCATCAATGAATCCATTTGAAATTCCATTATGATGATTTATATCATCGGTATGTTTTATTTTCAAACGATGAATTTCTTTTGTAATATTTGCTGTATTTGTAGGAGTAGTTGGTGTTGTATTAAATGGTGCGACTCTGACCACAGTCCTTTGATGTGTTTGATGTTGTTGATGTAATGGTGGTGGTGGGACTGATGTTGATAATGATATGTCTGGAGATACTATAGGATTCACTAGAAGTTTATTTGAGTTACCAAACAATCTGGCACCAGTTGAGATCTCATTTTGTGCTTGTAATAATTTCTTTTCTTCGTTCAAACATTTAATATTGTTGTTGTTTGGAGTTAAAGGTAAACTTGTCGGCCTTGATGATTTACTTTGCGGTTGCTGTTGTTGTAATTTTTGTGCTTTATTTGTAATTTCGTTAGAATTTTCATTTATTCCTTTATGATTTTTATCATTTTCAGTTTGTGTAGAATTTAATGATATTTCATAATTATTTGATTTCACTTTTATATTTTCATCTTTTGTAATTTCTTTTGTTATTATTTTTCTACTTAATTCTTTAGAATTTTCTTGAATTTTATCAGAAGTACCAGCCCAAGAGACTCGTTTTGTTTTTATTGTAGAAATACCTTTCAAATTTTCTTTTGATGGAGTTTTTACCACCTTTGACTTTTGTTCCTGTTGATGCACATTTTGTTGTTCCAATGATTGTCTTCTTTGTTGTGTTGATAATAATGATGATTTCATCTGTTGCTGTTGTTTTTGCAATACTTTTGATTGCGAAACAATTGTCGTTTGTGAAGCATTTTGGTTATGCTGTAGGGTTTTTGTGGCGGTTTTTATTTTATCAATATTTCTTTTACTATTGTTAACATTGTTTCCATTTCTATTGATAATATCAGTACTCTGACTATTGTTTACATCATTTATTCCTTGAATAGAATTTGTTGTTTTATTGATTTCAGCTGATGTTGATGATGAATTTTTTTCCGATTTCAATTTTGATGAAGAATTGCAATTTTTTGTTAAATTCATCGTTTGTAATAATTCATTGGAATGCATTTCAAGCATTAAAGATGATTCATTGTCATTGTTTTTACTATTTTTATTTTCATAATTTCGTTCTATCGATGATGATGGTGATGCTATTGATGATGATGATGATGATGGAGAAAATTTATTTGTTGATGATTTCGTGGTTTGAGTAGTTGTTGTTGTTGTTGTTGTTGTAGCTGGTGGTGGAGGAGGCGGTGGTTCTTTTGGTCTATAAAATGTATTTTGTTGTATTGATTTTTCATCAATACAATTTAGATTTTTTTCATTTTGTTGATATTGTAATTGTTCTTGTGTAAATAAATCTTGACTTGCTACAGTTCGATTATTTTTTAATCTTAAAGCCATTGTATCATTGAATTGAAATTGAATTTTTTGGTTTAAATCATTATTATTTGATCCTAAATTTGCACGTCGATCACTATAAGTACGTCTTAGTGATGAGATATTCGATGAGATTTCATTGTCAAATTTATTTGAAAGAGCTGGTGCGGATGTGTTGCAATCTGAAAAAATAAAATAAAATAAATATTGTGTTAGTTTGGTCAGAAAATGGTTAGATTTTGAATATCATAAAATTAAAGAACGGATTTCAGTTTATGTTAGCTTGTATCAACAATGACTGTAAACTGGTTATACGTCCAGTTCCAATTTACAGTCTAAAATAAAATAGAAAATATTTATTGTGTATTTTATTGGAATGAAATTTTAAATTAAAAATTTGTCATTCTAATTTGAATCTTCCCTGAGAATTCACATTTCAGTAAATCAAACAACAAAAACAAAAATGATAATAAAGACGTACATGATTCCTTTCACATTTTTTTCCCCCCAAAACTCTAATCCTTCCAAATATTATTCCAGCTTTTTCTAATATTTTCAAATGATTTCAAAAAACTTTTTATTTCTATTACAAATGCTTATTATCTTCTTATACGATTATAATTTAAATTACTATTATGTACGATTCCTTACAGTCTAGAATTTCAAAGCCCTATACATATATACCTTTCTTCAATTTAATTTATTTTAACTATGCCATTATATTAAAAAAGATTCATATCTTTCCATTCTGCTTCATATACTTAACTAATACAACATGTTTTTTTCTTCTTCATGTACACAAGAATCTAGTACCTATACCCATATACCTGTTTAGATGACTAGAATATAAGTAAATATATATAAAATTAATGTAAACTTTATTCGATTTTTAAAACTACTTTACAATATCGCCAGCGAGATTAGAATTCTACTAATAAAAAAAAAAGAAAACAAGAGAAAAAACGAAACAGAAAAAAAAATCTAAAAATCATCATGCGTTTGACTTTGTAATCTCAATATACCAAAAATATTCTGAATTAGATTCATCTAAAATCCTCCCCGCTTATTCCAAGAACAACAACAACCTTCCTTAATTTTTTATTATTTTGGGATGAAATATTTTGTTTGAATTTTTATTATTATTCAAGGGTAAATTTATAAAATTTGAAATATAAAATAATTCCCATTACTATTTATAATACTGGCAACTATAAGGATGATTGTAAGGTTTCGAATGAATAATTTGAATAGTTTAGTGTTAATAAAAATTATTAATCTATGTGTTTTAACAATTAATTAAACTTTGAAACAATGAGATTGCTGAAAAGTTGTACAATTATTTTAAAATAAATTTTTGTGAAATTCCGCCCCTTAATAAAGCGTACTAAGAACTTACTGGAAAGCAAATGCAAAAAATTTATATTAGAAGAATTTCTTACATTTCAAAGAATTTTTATGACTGAAGGCACCAAAATTCGAAAAGGTATATACCAATAAAAATAATTAACCAGTTTTCCTATTAAGATATTTAGTTCTTGTAAAAAGTAGACCTATGATTTTTTTAAATTTATATGAATTAGTATAGCGCATTTATTCGGAGGCCATTTAATTAACGTCTCTTGAAAACGTATAACACATGATATTTTAGAACGTATAACAATAGAACATATATAATAGATATTGAGAACAATGAATAGATATTTTATTCTAAATTATAGGGTACAATGATTGGCGCCGGGTGCAATTTTTGGAAATCGCGTTGGTTGTCAAACTAGTTAGAACCGGGCCTGATAATAAGAAAAGTATTTTAAGTTAATGACAAATTCTAAGACTTACACTAAAGCAATTTCGGAAGATTTTATATTTTTTGTGGTAATAATTTGACACCCTACAGGTGACAAGATCAAATTATAAAAATTTTCACTTTTGATTTTATTTTTTTCATTTAATTTTTTATATTATTATATAATATAGACTAAGAGATTTTCAACTAAATTTAAAGCAAAATATTGAAGGTAAGAACGTGTTTTTTTCCTTTTCGTATGCTCTTGGAAAATTTTGTAAAAAACAAAAAGGTAAAACCAAAAAAGTTATCCTTTGCTCATCTTTAACTCCCACCCCTACCTGCTCTCCCCCTTTTCCCAGTTAAGCATTTTATTTTATAATGAAAATTTTTCGTCTTCTTTGCAGACTTATTTGTTTTTCGGTTTTTTTTTTTAATCAATGTGATGCACGAATAGCTCTAATGAATATCGTTTGCTATTAAATGTCAAAAAAATTTACAAAAAAATTCGTGCCAATTTAAATTGGAATTATAATATTAAAAAATTTTTGTAAAAATGTAAAAATAAATGTCGTATGGATTGTATTTTAAATTTAAACAAAATAAAAATGTTAAAAATTGTAATTTTTATTTGTCTCCAATTTATATTATTGGTTATTTTGGATTTTTAAGAGTTTATATCACTAAGAATTTTTAGTGAATCGAAAAATCACGAATCAAATATTTTAAATTAAAATTTTTAAATCTTGTAATGCATTTTTTATCAGATTTAGCTAAACAAAATAAAATATGACAAATCAGATTAATTTTTTTTTATTTGGGAACGGAATCTAATTTTACACGAGGGAGTAAAATTTTGGGGTGTGTGTGCGCTAAAAACGCCCTTGAAATAGGCGCAAATCAAGCAAAACAATTAATTCTGTCAAAATTATTTTTAAAACCAAAACCGTAAGGTTGCATGACGTAACTGAAATGAAATATAACTCTAATTACAAATAGAAAGAACTTGTTTGTTGTAACGGATATCGATTCAGTAAACCCGTTTCAATAAGGACCTTTAAACTCTTTCTCCTTCCTTCTTCTTCCCTTAAAATTCGTATTTGTTTGTAGGTTAGGTTAATTTAGCCATAAGTCGAAAAACCAAATCGAAAGAAGTTTTTTGTTCTGTTCCTTTTCGGAAAACAACATTTATTCTAGATGTAAGGCTCAAACCGATGTCTATGTTGAATTCAAGTAGCTTTAAATAATTGCAAATTTTCTATTGTGGAACAGTAAAATGACAAAATGATAAATTAGAAAGTAATATAACAACGTTAGTGCAAGTCTGACTCAGAAATTCGAAGAACCAAATTTTTTTTTGTTGAATTATCGTAAAAAGTTAGATATTATTATTGTGGACACAAACCAATTCATACAAATGATTCGCGTCTATAATAAAGTTTTTGAAACTTTTATTGGGACTTAGAGTGACTCGAAACTTAGAATAATCTCAATTTTATATTTCCTGATTTCTCAACTAAAAATACTTACTAGCTATTATAAAATTTAAAAAAAATTACATTAAAAATATTTTCATAATTTACCGAAGGGCTAATATTTACCCTTAAATATAAGGAATATAAAGGATTTTCCGTTCGCATATACATACATAAAATCATATTTGAAAAACAAAGAATCAACTAAGTGAGGTCAGGGCCATATATTTGTTAAATTTAATCAATGATCCCAGAAGTTTTATACTATTTTACAACAGTGTATTATTGTAATAACTTCTCTAATATATTTTGTAAAAAAAAAATCATAAAAAAAAAAAAAAAAAATAATTTTCTATTATTTTTTTTTTATAGAATCACGTTTTACTCATAAAAATGTTTTATTATGTCCAGTGAACCATACACCATTCCGATCTAGTTTTAGATAATTTTTTTGTGTTCTTTTCTTTTACTTTCTCTACTCTAATATCAACCGTGTATATTCTATTACGTATATGTATGTAGATACAATTATGCGCACAATATATAAATAAATTTTTTTTTGTTTTTCTATTTTAAAGATATAATGATGATGATGATGGATAAAGTTCTCTAAATTCATTTCGGAATATTAAAATAAGGTTGTTATTGTTGTTTTTTTTTTTTTGTTCTAAAATTCATTTAAATTTTACATTTTGTTTATACTTTAAGTATGACAACTAAAAGTCGAAATTCTCAGGTATTCAAGGGAATTTTTTTTTTAATTTTGAAGAGGTTTAAAATATTATATTAGAAGATTTTTCGCGGGATTTTAGAATCTATCTGCTAAAATTTATTCGTGGGGGTGGCTAAATTGCAATTATTTGAAAATTTTTTTTCGTGATTCTCGATAAAAATACCCGATTTCCCTTTTTATTTTTGTATTATTATATTTTATTAAAAATTATTATCGTTCCGTACGAGCTTAGCCACCTCTTCAAAAGAGTACTAAGTAATCTTAAAGAGTACTAAGTAATTTGTTTGGCGGGAAAAAATTATGCAATCAGAAATTTATGCTTATTTAATTTGAAATTAAAACATTTACTTTAAATTCATGAATTACTTGAAAACTCTCTATAATTCAGAACAGAAAGTCAGGCAAAATTAAAAAAAGGTTTGATACATAAAATTCTAGAGGATAATATTTAAAGTGGTTTGTTTTACACTTAAGTATATATAATATCCAAACATATAACACTGTAGTGTATAACACTTTTAACTGCACAATCATGGGCCCAAATGAATAAGTAACTCGAATTATTTTCACAATAAAATTTATAGAACTTTGAACAACATGTTCCAATCATTACAAATAACTGTATGAAATAGCTAACACTCAAACGGAAGTACCTTATTTGAATATGAGAATTATATAACACTTTTTACTATATTTTAATATGTTACGGATTTTAATATAATAGAGGTTCTTTAACCAATGTTCCCCTATAATACTCCCCCTAACTGTTAAAAAACTGTTATACAAAAAACGAAGAAAAAAAAAAACTGTTATACACAAAAAACTGTTATACACCAAAAACTGTTATACAAAAACGAAGAAAAAAAAAATTTTATACACAAAAAACTGTTATACACCAAAAACTGTTATACAAAAAACGAAGAAAAAAAAAACTGTTATACACAAAAAACTGTTATACACAGAAAACTGTTATACAAAAAAAATTATGTTAAATATCCTTAAAAAAAATGATAAAAAACAGTATTAAAATTATTTTATAAGACGTAATGAACGCTGTGTGTTAATAGTGTAACCGATATTGCAATAACAATACATAATTTAACTGCATGCTAAAACCCAAAATTACAAGAGAGTTTTTTTAAATATTTAAAATTTTCAAAATATTTATGAGCAATATTATGTACTTCATCT